TCGAGCAGAATTCCGCCGGAACGCCCCCGTTTGGCGAATTGGCGCGTCTGCGTTAGAGGACAGCTTTCCGTGTGATTCATGTCCCGTGTACGTCGCCCCCCCCCCTCCGACAGCTCAACAGGGCCAACGGGCCGCCCTCGCCGCAGCCGGCCGCCGGCACGCTGGGCCGGGTGGCCGCCGTGGGTCCCTACATCCAAGTTCCCGTGCCGACCCGACAGGACGCGGGCTACGCCTCGCCGCCCGAACCGCTCAAGCCGCACACCCTGGGCGTCAACAACCAAGCCAACCAAGGCCGCGGCAAATCAGGTTTGTCCCGGAACCGACTTTTGAAAGGGGTTGAGCTTGCAAAAAAATCGCAGTCGAGTCGTCGGACGCACGTGGACAAGCTCTGCTCGTCAAAGAAAACCCCGCAACGCTCGCACCTGACAAAAAAAAGTGCTCAGGGAGAAGAACGGACTTAAAATCAGATGGCTCAGTCCGTCAGCAAGTCAAGTTTCTCAGCAATTTTTGTCCAGGCCGCTTTCATATGCTGTTTTTTTTTTTTTTTTAATTTCCCCCCCCCCCCCCCCCTCACCCCCACCTTAATGTGCCTGCCATTGGCTTACTTTGCTTTCCATTTGTCCGTTTGACATTCTTTTGGTGACCGTTATGGGTTTTTCTTTCACCAACACCGATTTTGTCCACGTGCGTCGACGCGCTTCTGCTTTTGTCATCTGCTCAATGTACGCTTGAGTGGGCGCACCAACGCAGTTTGCCGGTTCCTCGTGCCACTCAATCGATTTGAATACCATTGCGTCTCCCCCCCCCCCAAACGCCGGCCCAAATCCGAGCTCACATTCGACACTGTCTTGTTTTTTCAAAATCCAAGGTGTCGGATCGGGACTCGGTATCATCAGATACTGCCCATCGATTGGCTCCCGACTCTGACTTGGGTGCTCGAAAAAAAAATGGCATTGGGACATTCCGACTTCAAAAAGTCATCCATAACCTTGAGAGAAAGTTGTTGTTTTGGATGTCTTTGGAGTGAGTAGTAAGTGTGGAAATAGCCCGGCGACATTGAACTCCTTTTGCGCGACGCTTTCCCTGGTGCACCCGACTTGCTGCTCGATGTTTCCCACCTGTGCTCCAATCCTGTGCTTTCCTTCCTCCTCTCTAACTCTGCTCTCTTTTCCTGTGTGTGTGCTTTTGTCGTCGTCGTCTCCACCGTGACCGCCTCCTTCCACTTTTTCCTCTCCTCTCCTCTCATGTGTTTGCGGTGAGAGATGTTTCCGTCTCGCGGGGCGCGGGTTGGACGCTCGCAGACGGCGGCGCGCAAAAGCCCCCCGGCGGCCCCTGGAAGGTGTCCGATTTAGACATCGTGGTGGACCCGCTGCCTCCGCCCACTCCGGAGTCTCACCCGAGCCCGGGAGCCTCGGCCGGCTCCGACGGCACGTCCCGTGAGTGCGCAGCGGGTGCGGTGCTTCGCGAAGCTTCGCCGAGCCTCGCTGCACTTAGCTAGCAAAACAAAAAGGACAAGCGGGGAGCCCTGAAGTGCTCACCCTGCCTCGATCGGCATTTCTAGCACCTCGCCGACCTCGTCGTCCTCCCGACAGAGGTTCAAGCTTGCACGTGCAGCTGTGGGTTTTTTCAATGTTGGTTTCCGCGGAGGGGCGATGAGCCGTCGCATCCAAGCAACATGGCGCTGCCATCTTGAAACACGTCCATGTGCAAATGTTTGTCGTCGTCGATGCCCCGTGTGCTTTCTATAGTCTTGCGAGAAGATTCGCCCCGCACTTTTGTAATCGTTGACACTTGGCATTTCATCACAGTGACCGCATGCTTTTGTTTGTTCGTGGTTCACGTCCTGACGTGCTCGCGTCTCGCTTCTTGCGCTTCAGCCGCTGACGGCGGTTGGCCTCCGGTGGCCAAGACGGGCGCATCCCTGAAACCTCCGGAGAGAAGAGACTCGGATACGCAGGCTAAGACCCCCGCTTCCGGTGCCGAAAAGGTCAGTGTGATTTCTTGGAATCCTCTTCAACGTGTACGAGGACGAGCGAGCGGGCGGCTTGCTTTCCGGCGGCCGACGCGATGTCGCGGCAGTGACGTCCGAAACTTTTCGCCCGCAGGCGCTCGACTCCAAAATGGGCGCCTCGTCCCCTTCCGCGGCCAAACCGCAGCCGCCGCCGTACGGTTCGCACCTCTCTCTGGAGCGCCGCAAGGATGCGCCTCGCCAGCCGGCAAACCCGCCGGTACCCGCTTGGCCCCGCGTGCCGGCCGCCAGCGGCTCTTCCTCGCAGCAGATCCAGCAGCGCATCTCGGTGCCGCCGAGCCCCACCTTCCAGCCCCACGCGCCGCTCTTCCCCCCCGGCGCGAGCGAGAGGCCGGACCACCACCCGCCGGCCGTGGCCGTGCGCCCCTTCGTTCCGGACAGGGGCTCGCGGCCCCAGTCGCCCCGCAAGGGCCCGGCCACCATGAACTCCAGCTCCATCTATCACATGTACCTCCAGCAGGCGGCGCCAAAGAGTCAGCCGCTCAAACCTGCGCTCAAAGCAGGTAAGGCAGTGACGCAACTTTGTTTGCTGTGACCTTGTAAACGCAGAATGGAATGCAATTACGGTTGAGGTCGTTGCGTAACGCCGCGAGTACGGAGCAGCGGAATTCACTGAGCAGTTCCCTCCCGTCCAAAGAACATAAAGCAGCTCCCCCCAAAAAAAGGAGACAGAACGAGAACACGGACGGGTTTTCCAAAACGGCGCCCCAATTTCTCCATTAAAAAAGGAAAAGCATGAGAAATTGTCCGGATCCATTTTTTTTTTTTTTTTCAAATGGAAACTAATTTCAAGTACTTATTTCAAGACATTTGAAAGCATTCTCGCTCCCTCAGCCGGTTGTAAAAAGTCTCAGACTTTGAGGGAAATCGAATCCCGCACCACCGGTTGCTTTTCACGCGAACGACCATGTGACCTGTGACAAAAGTGTCGTTGACATCCCTTTCCAAAATGGATGCTGACAGCCCTTTTTTTGTTTGTTTTTTTTCGTCTGTAGTCTACGGGAAGCCTGTCCTCCCTCCCAACTCCACTCCCCCCTCCCCCCTGCCTTTTGTCCCGGCCGGGGGGGCCTTCCCGTTGCCCCCGGGTCCGCCCGGCGGCGCCGAGGACGCGCCGGACGGCGGCGCGGAAGATCACGAGGGCCTGCGCCAGGCGGAGCCATCGGCTCCGCCCCCCAGCGTGGAGAACATCCCCCGGCCGCTCAGCCCCACCAAGCTCACGCCCATGGTCCACTCGCCGATGCGCTACCAAAGCGACGCCGACCTGGAGGTCCTCCGCAAAAAGCTGGCCAACGCTCCGAGGCCCCTCAAGAAGCGCAGCTCCATCACGGAACCGGAGGGCCCGAGCGGACCCAACATCCAGAAACTTCTCTACCAGAGATTCAACACTCTCGCTGGGGGCATGGAGGGAAGCGCCGGCGCGGGCGGCACCAACGGCGCGGGCGGCGGGACGCCATTTTATCAACCCGCGACTCCTCCGGACTCTGTGGGCTGCGACCCGGCCGCGTACACGGACGGCGGCGACCTTCCCTCGGACATCTTGCCGCCGCCCGAGTCGGCTTCATCGATTGACCCTAACGACAACCAGCCGCTGCCTCCGCCTCCCGAAGGACTTTTGGGCCCTCCTGAAGAGCAAGGACCCGAAGCCGCCGACGACGACAATGACGACGACGACGACAACGCGGAAAGCGCCGAGGCTCTGTTGCCCAGCCCCGTGCCGGAGGTGACGTCTCCAGAGGAGAGCGGTATCGCGCTGACCCAACCGTCGGTGAGTTGCGCAAATGCAGAACGATGGGAGGCCCTTCCAAAACGCTTGTGAAAATATCGCCATATTTCCCGCTTTGTTATTCACAAAGTCGCCTCATTAGTCGTCCTCCCAATGTAGGAACAGAACTCCTGTACTGCCCCTGTAGGTGGATATAGATGAGCGGTATCCCTCCAGGCCCAGTACTCGTACCTTCCTTTTTTTTTTTTTAAATTAACAACTGAGAACTCTTGTTCCACCCCCTCCAAGCGTACAAACCTGAAGAAGCCAGAGTCTGAGCGCACCGGCCATGGCTTCCGGGTTAAGTTCAACCCTCTGGCTCTCCTGCTGGACGCATCGTTGGAGGGAGAATTTGACCTGGTCCAGAGGATCATCTACGAGGTGCGCTTGCAAGCCCCCTGGCGTTGCGTCACGATGGGCCGGCTTCCGTCGAACCGTGTGCTCCTCTGTTTCAGGTGGAGAATCCCAGCACGCCCAACGACGAGGGCATCACCCCGCTGCATAACGCCGTATGCGCCGGACACCACCACATAGTCAAATTCCTGCTGGATTTCGGCGTCAACGTCAACGCGGCCGACAGCGACGGATGGTCAGACGCACGCCCCCGCCCCCGCGCGCTACACGATCAGCCCCTGAAAATGTGTTGATGTACTTTTTTTTTTTTTGCGAGCAGGACTCCGCTCCACTGCGCTGCCTCGTGCAACAGCGTGCACCTGTGCAAGTTGTTGGTGGAGTCGGGGGCCGCCATCTTTGCCAGCACCATCAGCGACGTGGAGACGGCCGCAGATAAGTGTGAGGAGATGGAGGAGGGCTACGTCCAGTGCTCCCAGTTCCTATACGGTAACGATTATTACCGTCCGGCTCGATATGTCATGTGGGGGGTCGTGTTGCAAATACTGCAGCGACCCGCGCGAATACCAGAACACTCCAAAGCGGAGTCTTCCATCGCATCGTTAGCTTTTCAAGCCACCGTCACATTCATTCATTCATTCATTCTCTTCCTTTTCCGGCCTAGGCGTTCAGGAAAAGATGGGCGTCATGAACAAGGGCACGGTGTACGCCCTGTGGGCCTACGAGGCTCAGAACCAGGACGAGTTGTCTTTCGGCGAGGGAGACGCCGTCACCATCCTGCGGCGGCAGGATGACAGCGAGACGGAGTGGTGGTGGGCGCAGCTGGAGGACACCGAGGGCTACGTGCCGCGCAACCTGCTGGGGGTAAGCGGGGGCTGGGGAATTCATTTAGTGTTGTCAACTTTGCAATTTGCTCGCTAGATTGAACGACTTGTCTGACCCTCGAGCCAATTTTAAGGCCGTTATCACACGCCGCCCGGATTTTGAATGCCATTAGTCCCCTTGGTGATCGTTTATTTCTTTTTTCCCCTTCTCCCTCCCTGCAGCTCTACCCTCGGATCAAACCTCGCCAGCGCACCTTGGCGTAGCGTCGCCCTCCTAAAACAAAGAGCAGAGAACAAACGAGCCTCATCGATCTTCTCCTGGTGGCCATTTTTCTTCCCCCGGCCCCGTTGCCGTTCATTTGCACACACACGCGCACACACACACACCCCGTGATAGACAAGCACTCCAAAAGAGGGGAAAATGTCCTGGTCACATAGAAGCCGGCCGGCCCTCTACGTTGCCCCCTTGCACAGTGCAGCTCTTTAAGGTAACCTTTGTCGCCGCAGAACTTCCTTCTTCTCTTCACCCATCCCTTCTTCCATCGTTATGGTCAGTATGAGTCGACAGAGCAGCGATAACAAGGTGACATTTGATTGCATTTTTGAACCCCCCCCCTTCCCTTTTTGAGAAGAATGAACCCAAATTATTTTTTTGTGTTTTTAAAAATTGCAATAGGTAGTTTGTATGTTGAAAAGTTTTATTGGGTGTACTGTTCAAAAAAAAAAAAAAGTTAGCACGTCACGACAAAGGCAAGGTCAACCCTACTTGCGAAAAGATGCCAAATTACCTTTCCAGGTGAACTCTCTCACGGTTGCATCATCTTCCCAAAGTCTTTAGAAAAGCCACGTAGCCAAGCGGTCAATAAAACGATGAGCCGACCAAGCGGTTTAGCGGGCGGAAATGAATCTGCACGCCATCGACCGTCATGGCTAACCGGTTCCTTCTCTGAAGCATGACCGTGATCTCTTTTCATCAAAACAGGCTGTGTCAAACATAACTGGTTTGACTTGTTGTCTAAAAAACTTCCAGGCTTGCCATCTTGAGGCAACATGAGAACACACATCTACGGCAGAGAGGAAAGAGGCGAGTTGAGTTCACAGAATTGTTCTCAAGTTACTTTCAACACTTGAAGTTTGGTCATAATGCGTTGGGGGGGCAGATGACATGAAAACAGACCCCTCGCACCCATTTGTTAGCCAATGTGAAATGACCGTATTTGGGCATCCCTGGTTCACACTCATCAGCGATGATATGTCAACAATTCCTCTCGCAGTTGATTGTTACATGTCTATATTGTGAACAAATTGGACTCGGAGGAAATTGGTGCAAGGCAAATGAAACGACGACGCTGTGAAATTAAGGTTAAGGTCTGGTGAAGGGAGGGGGGGAGAATGTGCTTGTCAAAGAAAAAGCCATTTAGCAAGAAACCTGATAATTAATCATCGGGTTGCGACAGAGAGACGCCCAACTTTTTGTCACAAGTGTATAATGAGAGCATTAAATGCTAATCGAACCGAGCGGAGTTGATTGGCAATCCTGTTGGTCGGCCATTCAGATGTTTTGGCCCAAATGCATCCAGGCCCCTCGTTCCGTGACGTCACCCGTCTGTCGTGTTTTCTCAAAGTGGCCGTGACAAGCCTTTCAATCTCAGGACCAACACGGTGCTGCCGACGACACTCTCTTGTTCCTATTTTTATGCTCACCAAATCTCCCAGGAGAGACGAACCAAACATGTCCGCGCAAAGGTTATTTTATGAGAGGCTGACCTTCCGGAACTTGAGCCTCCATTCATGCGTTACCTTCCCGTGCATCTTGTGGTACATGCGTGTGACACCCCCACCCCCGTGTGTGTTTTTGATTGTGGAGAGAGCCAGTGACCCAAGGGCCTAGTCTCGGATTGCAGAACTGTAAATAACGCGAGGACGCGTGTCCTACGATTGCGGGTTTGCTGTAAGGACGAGGTGGACTTCCTCTTCGCATTGCTGTACTCGACACAATATACAAAATCTGTAAATGTGAACAATAAAAGTGAAGCTCTGGCATGACTCAAATGTGGCTTTGTGGGGCGCCAACAGAACGTAGTTCACGCGCGTGCCATCAGGGGGCGCACTCGTACCAATGAAGAAGAAGGACTTGATCCAATGCTAATCAGTCGAGTTGCACGTTAACTGCTTTACTGACCATTTTTCATTTGGAGGAAATAGTTAACTGAACATGCATATTACGTAAAGGTTTGGCTGGGGGGGGGGGAGAAATGAAACTTTGCTAGTGCACTTTAGTTTTTTTTTCCCGCTCATATCGTTTAAAACGATAACGATATAGACACTAAAACAGTCCAAGTAATACATTTCTCGACAGTCTTCAATTATAAACACCGCACAACTCTGTAAAAAAAAAGAGGCCTTTAAGAACTGCGTTATGTTATGTTTGGACCGCGAACTGTTTAGAATTAATTGTCTTAAAGCATACGATCATGAGTTTTTCCCCTTCTCGGTTGTGACTGCCACATATCATGTATTTTAAATTTACGCTTACCAGTTCCAACATTAAACACAATAAAAATGTCATTTCTTAACAAAAAAAAACCCAACAATGCACAAAACATTCATTTACCTTGAGTCTTTAAAAAAGTCCGGCAATGATGATTTTCCTTTTCAGTTTTGACTGTCACGTTTTCAACATTTAAAATATATACTAAGCTGCATTTTTTTGTGTTAAAACCCCCCAAAAACTTGAGGTCAGTTCATGTGACGGGAGTTATTGTATAACTCTCAACTCAACTTTATTTATAGAGCACTTTAAAACAGCCATCGCTGTATACAAAGCGCTGTACATGGAGCAACTGGAAAAGAGCATTTTAGCATTATTAATTGTGGTTATTGTTATTAGCCTAATAACAAGACGGCTTTTGGAAATGTCCAAAGACGCGAGCGTTGACTCAACTGTTTCCGTTCCGTTTTAGTGGTGACCCAGGTCGGCGCATGCGCAGCGACGATCCGACCACATCGATGACATCACGCGATTCCGACCGACCCGCCGCCGGGTGGATCGACCGACCGAGCGACCGAGCAGACAAGTGACCTCTTTGGCCTGGCAGTCGGTTTGGGTGAAAGCATATCGCCGCCCGCCCCGGAGTCTCTTGTGTGTCCGCCGTACTTTCGCTACCCGACCCGTCACCTCGCGGAAGAGAATGTTCAACAGAACGAGGTGAGACAAGCTCTTTTCTCTTCGTTTGTTTTCTGCTCGGCGAGCCAGCAGCAGGCATTAGTGGCCGCTCCGGGGCGGCGCTCGCTCGCTCGCTCGGCGGTCGAACCGCGGCCGGGGGTGGGCGAGCGCCTCCCGGCCGGCTTGGCTGGCGTGGTTATTAATGGCGCACCTGGCGCCGAGTTTCCGAAGCCCACACGTGAGTGGCGTGTGATAAAATGTTTGTTTGAGTTGTCCGCGAGCCAGCTCGAGCTACGACGCGGTGAGCGCTCCCTCCAGATCAAAGTGTCGCCGTCTACTTCCTGGCAGCAGGCTACCAGATGCGCCCTTTCGCTGCCGTTTTTCCATCATCGCAGAGGAAGAGTGGTGGCCGGGGGGGGGGGGCGGCACTTAGGAAAGCGTGCGCCTGATCAATCCTGAAGCGCGCGTGTTCGTTGCCCTCAAGACGAAATGCACCTGTTGTTCTTTGGAACACTGGCTCCCAAAGTGGGCCGATTTGGAGATCCACCATGTTTGGCGTCACCAGAAATGGCGCAAAACGGAGCTCGCCTCCATTCGAAGTGTCAGCCGTCAGTTATTGTCAAGTGAGAGACATTTCTTTTGAGATGCAAAATAGACAAAATAACATTTGCATTTTAAGTGTGGATTAAAACAAGCAAGAACCTGGACTTGATTTCTTGAATTCCCAGAAATCGGAAAGGTCTTCCCCATTGCCCTGTTCTTGAACGTTTCTGAAAACAAAGTAACAACCTTTGGCTTTTATTGTTTTCCTTTTTCCTCAAAGGTTTGTGAAAACAAAGTAATGATTGTTCAAACAAAAAGCAAACGGGGTCTGTTCTTGAGCAGTCTTCAAACAAAGAGGCGGCAATGGGATCGCCCGTTTGTTGGCCGTGTATTCAAACAAAGTAAGAACCATGGTGAAAATCGAAGACGCGTCAACCGATATTTGCGGGACGAGTCCAGTTGCGTCGGGCGCAGAACTCGGCGCGGCCTAATCCTTCCAGGGGTCGGTTTATTCTCGGTCAGGCGGTTGTCATCGGCGAGCGCTGGCGTTCCCCGGCAATGTTGACACTGTAAACGCCGCCGAAGGCGTCGGCTCTTGTTGCGGCCGCGCCGTTTCCAGACATTTCGACCGTTCATCTTTTTGTCGTCGGTGCCCACGCGTGCCGCAAAGGTGTTCGTTTGCTTTGTCGCTTTGATCGACGGCAAAGTAGCGGCATTTGTTTCGTGAATGGACATGAAAACAAAGTAACCGCGTGATCTGAAACTAAAGTCAGAAGAATTTGGTCTTATTCCAACCAAGTCCCAATGAGGCGCTCGCCAGCGATGCCGATGCCGATCCCGATCGTTTGAATGTTTGTTGTTTTGCGAAGATGGGAAACGTGGCGCATGACGGCCCTCGAGGTGTCAGCTGTCGTTTTGGCGTGGAAAGGAAATGTTGTTACAGGGCTTGCCTTTGTCTGCCCGTCTTGTTATTTTTTTAACCGGATCATCTGGAGCCTTTCAGAATCACAACTTACTCAATTAGATGTGCTGTATATAATATATCCATAAAACCCCACAACAAAGTCACCAAAGACAAGCCCAAGTTTGTGAGCTGCCACCACCGGCTGGCCGTTCAGCGGTCATGCGCTCCTTTCCGCCTCGTCGCGTCTCGTCGCCTGATGGATGCGGAGGTCCTTCCGCTGCAACAATCGGACCCCCCCCCCCCTTTTGTGCGCTGTTTGAGCCGGACAACAATGGCTTCATTTAGCATCGCTGCTCCGTCCGAGCGGGCTCGGTCACCATGGTGCAAGCACCCCCCCCCCCACCCCGCCCGGCAATTATGAATGCATCACCGCCCGTCATCCGTGAAAGATTGCCGGACACGATTCTTTGGTGGTTGATGGAACCCAAAGTCCGCCGAATGGGAATTTCTGGCCGACTGCGGCACCAGAGCTTCCTTTCCCCAAAGTTTTTCTTGCGTTTCCAAAATGTGCGGCGTTTGAGTCCGTCTGTTTGTGACGTTGGGACAAGAATGAGCACCACGTCAAGTTGCGGACCGTCGCAGAAGCGATCGTCCCAGCTCCCGGACGAAGCTGTGACGATCGCGCCGCGCTTTGAACAAAAGGCGGCGTGCGAGCGTGCGCGCCTGTTGGAGGATGGGAGGAGGGCTTTTACGGGCCAAGTGGGAATCGTGTTACAACCCGCGCATGCCTCTCGGGACGCTCCTGTGATGCACGCCAACGATTTGCTGCGGACACACCTGGAATTCAAACATTTCTGCGCATCCGCAACTCCCATTTTTCGTCCACGCCGGTGGGCTGCCGGCCGCTCATCGGCAGGCTCAGACCGGATCGGGCTGCCGACTGTGGCAGAAAGAGAGAGAGCGGCGCTCTTCGCCCCCGCTCCCGACGTGCCGCCGCAGCGCCCCGTTTGCAAAGCACTCGCAAGTTGGGACAAGTTGGGAATTTGCTCGAGGCTTCGGAGGGCAGTGTTCAGGCGGCGGACCCCCTCCGCTTGCGCTCATCCTTTGAGCGAGTATCGCGACGCCCCCGCCCCCGTTTGCAAAGGAAAGGAAGGAAGATGAAGCTTCTGCTCCGTCCTCCCATCGCTTTGTCTTTTGTCCAGCGCGTAGGCCGCCTCGAACCGCCCCAACGTCGTTGCCGAGAACCGAGTTGCCGTCGGCGTACTCAAATTCCGGGATCGCGGCCCGCAGCTCGCCACCGTCGTAGGCGAGGGTGGGAACGTCGATCGACCGCCAAATCGAGAGCAGCCGCTCTTCGCGTGGCGGTATATGTACGAGCTCTAGCGGCAGAAAAACGATGCCGATCTCCCGACGGTTGTTGGGCGCGACGCCGCAGGCCATGCAGACGGTCCAGTCGATCCAGTTTACTCGTTAACGTAGCCAAACAATCCCCGACACCTTTCGACCGCCGCTCGGGCGGAGCTTCTGACACGTCAAGAAAAAGCGGCTCGGCCGTCCGGCGGCCAGACGACGCGCTCGCCGGACGCCTCTGCTGACGCTCGACTCTGAACCGCCCTGATAATATGATATTTTGCCGCCGAGCGTCGTCATGAGTCAGCGCGTTGCCCTTTTGTTCCTTATCTGTCCGCCGCGGGGGGGAAAAACAACCTTGAACGGCGCGTCTCCCGCGGCGCAGCGCAGCGCTTGGCCTACATCTGCAGGGATCAACAAGTTAAGCCTCGGCCTTTCAACCCGGCAACCCTGTCAATCTGTGACGAGGCGCGTCAGCGGCGGCCGTTTGGCGTTGGCCTTCCACGAGAGTGGGCCTCTGGGAGTTGTTGCCCTTTCATAAAACCGACATACTTCACTCTTGTTCGGTTAAGCCGGAAGGGACGGCGGAGATGAGGAAAGTGGGACCACTCGTCGACCACTGAGGAATGTTTGGCACGGAGTCGTCGTCCGTCCGGCAACAAGACACCCTTTTCCCTCCTTTGAACATTTGCCATTCAATGCCCGCTTCGTTGTTTATTCGTACGACATTCAACGTGCAGCTTTGGCCCCCTCCCCCACCCCGGTTCGCCCCCCACACGCATGTCACACCTCGCCTTGGTTTCTTCCAACCTGAAACAAGTTGTCCAGAGGCCAGGGCGTGTGCGCTTCCGCGCTGGGCGGCGTCCTCCGCCGCCCAGCATCCTATTAGAGTGAGGGAGTGTTGAAAGGGGGCGTGGCCCAGAGCCAGGAACATCTGTGCCTGTCCCCCCACCCCCCTTCCAACCCCCACACCTCTCTCACTGCATTCTGCGGAGGAGCAGCGAGTCAAGTGAGGGGAGGGGAGATCTCAACGGCAGGGCACGGCAAGTTTTTTTTTTTTTTTTTCTTTTGAAGCCATCATCACCGGAAATCTGCAGCGGCCGAACTGCCGGGAATCGCTCGGGGATCGAAGGAGCCGCGGGACCTCCGACCCGCATGGATTCAACGCCGCAGCCAGTTGAGCATTTTGGGTTGAAAAGAGGAGGAGCGGGAGAAGACTCCCGGAGAGGGTAGGACCAAAGCAAGCGCTCTCGCCGGCTCGCGATCTGCCGGCCGGAATGCGCGCGGGGCTGCCGTCGGGGGCGGCTTTGATCACTCCTCCGCGTTCGGGCTCATCGGGGCGCCGGCGACGGGATCGCGTCGGCCGAATTAGCGGCCGTCGGAGCGGAAAACCTCCGCGGGCGGGGGGAGGGCAGATGACAGTGGGTTGTGACCGACGGCGGGCCCCCCCCGAGGCGGCGGAAATTAGGCGTTGATGCCGGCGCGCCGCCTCCCGCCGGCGGAGACCACGGAGATGAGATTCTTTTGGGATGGGAAGGAAAGTCACCTTGAGCGAAGGGGAGGTGTCGCCATCCTTCTCAGGTTGCCCTCCAGACTCCGAGACCAAGCCCCTCCCTTTATTTGGAGGGGGACGCTTAGGTTTGCGCTACGACAAGAAAAATCGAGATTAAAATGCGAGGGCAACAGGGGGGGGGAAAAAAATCTTAATCGCCCACCACAGTATGCAACGGCAACTGCTCTGGTTGCCGTAGCAACTGAAGGGGGAGGGGCCGAGCTCAGGCTGCTGTTGGAGGGATTACAACTCGGACAATGTTATCTTTTGAGGTCTTTGTGGCTCAAGTGAACGCCAAACTGACGGCAAGCGAAAAGAAACCGTTTGCCAGAGCCCGTCCGTCGTTTGAAGCCACGCGCACTCAAAAGTCACAGATGCAAAAAGTAGAACGGGACAAGAGGGACCCCAAGTCAACAAAAGTCGGACTTAGGCCTCACAACGAAGCACAACGATGTCTTTTTGTCCATAGCCCGGGACACCGTGGCCATTTTAATATCGGCAATTGATAGAATACTCGATTCTCAAAACTTGGCCTCCTACGGGCTTTGAAAACATTGGCGGCGTTGCGCGCAACACCACGACCTCATCTTGAAACCTCGCGCCATCCCCCCCCCGAGCGTCCCGTTGGCCGTCCGGCCGCCTCCAAGAGTTGATGCAAAGTTTGCAGCCGGCTCGAAGGACGGACGGACGGGCGCTTCTGTGGACTAATATGGTCAAAGCTGCGCTTCGGTGCCGCCATGGCCGCTGAGCGTGACGCCGCGCAGCTGCCGCCCGCCGAGCCCTCTTGGCCCCGCGTGGCCACGCCATCGCCCGCCCGCCCTTCCGAAGGCACGCTCTCACACCTTGCAGTTGCGACTTTTTCCTGTCCCGAAAAAGACTCCGTCCCACCAGTGGCCTACTTTGCTCCGTTTGATTGCCCTCCAAGGAGCCGTGCCGCTTCAAGATGGGGGGGCACGTGCGAGGGTTTTTTTTTTTTGAAGCGCCACCAAGCAGTTTGACGTGAGGGGCCGGCCTCCAAACAATGATGACAAATCCAACTTGGGCTTGAGCTGAATGAAGAGAGTCGCTAACAAGCTCATCCTCCCTCTCGCCTCAGGAAGGGAAAGTCCGACTCGGAAGACAATCGGGTGGCCGCGGCGATACGGTTGAATGACTCCACCCCGAGAGGCGTGATGGCGAGAAACGCGCCCGCCCCAATCGGGGCTCTGAAAAAAAAGTCAGAGTCGCTGACGGCAGGTCCCATTTCAAGCACGGCCTCGCCGCGTGACATCTTTGATCGCTCGTCGCCACTAATGCGCAGCGCTGCTTTTCCTTCACCCGTTCTCACGTCTCGCCAAGCAAATTGACGCAGCGGCCGTCCGTCCGTGTCTTCCAGGGCGCTCTGAGGGGGCGCAGGCGGTGACGAGGAGCCTCCGCAACCCGACCGGCCCGGCCCGCCAGGGAGCGCCATGGCTCCCCGGAAGCGCGGCGGCCGTGGCGGCGGCGGCGGCGGCGGCGGCGGCCTCTCCTCCTTCTTCTGCTGCTTCAACGGCAGCGAGCAGCCGGAGATCACCTACAGGCTGCGGGAGGACTTTGCCCCGCAGGCCGTGGAGCCGGCGCTGCCCATGCCGGGCTACGACGAGCTGGATGGGATCTTCTCCGAGTTGGTGGTAAGAAGCAAGCCTGGTTCTTTTTCTCCACGGCGGCGGCGGCGCTCGACACGGTTCCAAGACGGGAAGAACGGCTTGTTCCTCGTTGAGCCGGTCTCGTGAGCGCCGTTCTTCGCGTCGCGAAGGCCTCTTCCGGTCCGCCGGAGAAGTGACGTCATCGCGCCGCACGTCGCCGAAAAGAGCCGTCGTGTCTCGTCGTTGTTTTGAAGCATTTTATCTGATTTCTTTTTTTTTTCCAACGCGCAGGACGAGCTGGACCTCAGCGAGAAGCACAGGGAAGCCATGTTTGCCCTACCCGCCGACAAAAAGTGGCAGATCTACTGCAGCAAAAAGAAGGTAACGCGCGTCCGTCGTCCGGGGCCTTCCGGGGGAGCCGCCCGCAATTGGGGCCGTTCCGGCATTCCTCGGCTTCGGTCCCGGCGCATCGTGACGAGGGCCGTGGCGGTCGACGACGCGTCCTTTCGGGCCACACCCCCATCAGTCTTTTGCACGGACACCCCGAGCGAACCGAAAACCTCGGTCCGGATGACCTGTCCAGATGCAGTATGACGCTCCGCAGTCTCCGCTCGGCTGCAGCCGCCCCTCAACGGCGGCGCGAGTGGGATTCCGCATCGAGCTTGCGAAGCTCGTTGCCGCACGTCGTGTGCGCGGACGGCAGGCGCCAAGCGTCCGCCGCGCGACATCCGCTCTCGCTTTCCCGTTTCGCTCGCCACGTGCGAAAAAGGCGTCCGCCCATTGCGCTCGACGCCCCGGCCAGCTTGCCGCTCGTCTTTTCCTCTCGTTTGTCAAGGCAAAAAAAACCTCCCCACAGGATCAGACATCCACAATGTCAAGAAGCGAACCACTGCGGTCAAAATGGTCAGCGTCGATTCCGTCAATTCGGCATACGAATCCGTAGCGCTTTGCCGATCAAAGCCCGAGTAAATCTGTGGTCAAGCTGTAAAAATGCCGGCCGCCGCCAAGTTTTCCCTTCATGTGTCTCGGTAGGCTTGGATGAAAAGCCCATCCTGTTTTGAATTAGAGATCGCGCTGACATCAGTGCCTCGGGCGCGGCGGATGCGCTCCTGCCCCCCCAAATCGGCCCCGTTGCAAAGCGAACTTTCGGTGGTCGGGGAAGGCCTCAACCTTGCCATCGCTGGGCCACGTCTTGGCCGAGATGAGATTGGCGCTTTGGAACGCAAATAGCACGCGGGCGGGGATCGTCACCGCAGGGGCTCCTGTCGACGTTCTCGCGACTTTGACCCACATTTGAATTCAGCGGGTGGCCTTCAGGGCGCTCTCCCTCTCGCTCACGCCGCGTTTCATCTCGTGGCTCGGCCGCCGCCGTCCCAGATTGTGGCCCGGTTCCGGCCCCAAAATAGCGCCGCGTGACACTTGCGGGGAAATGGCGCTCAGCGGCAGGCGGGGAGCGCGAAAGACGGTTTGACGCGGCCATATGATCGTGGGCCGCAGTCTCCG